TCGACGTCTTATCACAGATCATCAACGCCTTATCATTTCTCATTCGATACCCCACGTGAAAACTTCCCCTCTCCCCGACTCCTCCAACTCTCAAAATGAAAAAAAAGAAAAAGGGGAAGAAAAAGGGAAGAAAAGTATCATGCAGACATGAGAAATGTTAAAGTTTAAAGAATATTAATAAGATTTAATATCATCACGAATTCGATCTGATTTCAAATTCCAAACGAGAGTTCATCATACACAAAACTTTAATACCGGAAAAAAAAAAAAAAAAAAAAAAAAAAAAATAATAATAATAATAATAATAATAATAATAATATTGAAATAGGAGCACCAGGAATCATTCCGAAAAGGAAAAAAAAATCCTTCGAGTGAGATTTTTCTAGAAAAAACGGGAAAAGGGAGAAGAGAATAAATACGTTTTATCAATATTATTATTATTTATGATGATCATAAATCCGTGGCGGCACTTGCTCCGTGTAAAAATTTCGTAAACAACAACCCAACAACCAAACAACCGACAACCAAAAGTGTGGAACAACAAACGCTATTGCTCAAGAAAATTAAATATTATCATTTTCCAAACGGGATACGTATAATTTATTCACGTTGCGAAACTTTTTTTTTTTTTACAGTTTGTAATTATTATTATTATTATTATTATTATTATTATTCGTTAGAAAATCAATCAATCAATCAATCGATTTTAGAGAGGAGAGGAGAGAAGGAAAGGAAAAGAAAAAATTCAATTTATTCGTACGCGTTACGGAAAAAAAACTCTTTCACAAACATTCAAATTCGCCGCCATTTTGATTTCATTTGTAAACAACATCGTTTCGAATTATATCGTGTCATATTCACAACGATTCAACTTTACTATATACATATATACATGACATATATAGGAGGACATATATTCACGCCGTTTCGACTTCGTGTAAAATTCATTTTTTTTTTTTTTTTTTTTTTTCCCCAGTCGGTTGTTAACGCGTAACCAAGGAAAAGGAAAATGTCAAAGGTGAAAATTTTAATTTAATTATTATTATTATTTGAATTTGCCGAACGAGAGCGAGAGAGAGAGAGAGAGAGAGAGAGATAATTATTTCAGGTTTAAACTCAATTTAACGTAGCTACTTGAGCTCCTGCCTGCCTACCCATTACAAATTGTCCATTTTTCAACAACCCACGCGCGACAATCAATCGCGAATTTTTTTCCCGAGGTTTTGACCAAATATATATACAATCCCAAATATTACGTGTCCCTTGTATAAAAAAAAAAAAACGTAATTAATTTAACGATCGTGTGTGCGTGTGCGTGTGTAAGTAAATCCTCGGGATTCCTTAATGGTAAAAAAAAAAAAAAACTCCAGAATAAAACTTTCGTTCCAGAACAATTTGAACACACTCCCCCGTAACGACGAATTTATTATCATTATTATTTTTTAAATTTCCAGTCAAGTGGAAGAAACGACAATCACCACCATCGCTATCGTAATAATTATTATTTTTATATTTTCCACAACTTTTTCACACCACCCTTTTATACAAAAAAGAGAGAGGGAAAATGGCGACGGAGGACGTTAATGCACGATCCATTATTCAAATTGATTTCGTAACATTTTTAATAATTAATATTCATCGAGAAACGTCAAATCTTTGCCGCCACTTTTACGCAAAACAAAAAAAAAAAAAAACCAATATTAATAACGACCATGATGGCGGTGGTGGCGGTGGCGATGACGACGATGAGAAAATCAAAGAAACAAAAAAAAAAAAAAAAAAAAAACAAAGAATCAAAAAAACAATGAGGAAATTCCGACGGATTCGAACCGGAAGTTGAAAAGTCGAAGAACATTTTTTTTTCCCCTCCCATTATTAATTATTTCAACTCTTCGGATTTGCTACATTAATAAAAAATTAATTCCTTTTCTCTCTCTCTCTCTCTCTCCCTCTCGGTTCCAGTGCGAACGTTCGAGAAAATAATATAGAATTCAACTTCGAATTTCCTTTTTTTAGTAGAGGAGGGGGCGGGGGCGGGAAAATCCACATTTTCGATTATCTTTTCTTTTTTTTAAAGTTTATCGGAGATTTACAAAAAAAACTTTTCTTTTTTCTTCTTCTTCTTCTTCTTCCTCATCTTTTCCAATAGTTTTTAAAGGAAAAGTTAAAAGCATCGACATTTAAAATAAAATAATAATAATAATGATGATGATGATGATGATTTTTTCGCCTAGCGTTCACATTCATCGCGTCGCGCTCATTTAATATTTCGAAAAAAGTACTGGAGATTATCTCAAAATCTTCTTCCATAAACTTTTTTTTTTTAATCTTTTCTTATTCGCGTGCCACCCCCCTTTTTCTTCCAACCCCTCCTCCCCTTTCCCCTTCCTATCCTCTCTTATACACTTTTTCATTTTTACCATTTTCACATTCGTACCACGAAAGAGAGAGAGAAAGAAAAAAAACTTTCGAGTCGTCGACGACGTTTTTTCGATTCTACGATAATAATGATAATGTTTACACGAGGATTTGCAAACATTTGACCCAAGAGGGGGGGGCCACACCCAAAACGATATCGAATTAACCCTCCGTTAAAATTACAGATAAGAGAAAAAAACCGACTCGTCCCGCGACCCGTCAGGAATGAATTCCAGGTTTCAAAGACTGAGACGAATAATAATAATAATAATAATAATAATAATAATAATAATAATAATAATAAGTAAGCTACGCTCTTCACAGAATGGAAAAATATATATTTAAAAAAAAATCATTTTAAATTGAAAGGAAAAAGAGAAAAAGTTTTCATTTTTTTTTTTTTTTTGATTACATTTTAAAAAAACGATGAAATTTCATTTTCACTTTGCTATAAATTGCCTTTTCATATTTTCCCCCCACCCAAACACACACACACGCACCCCTCCCCTCTCCATCCTTCCCTCCCACGAAATGTTCCGCTTCCTTTCTCTCCGAAAAATATTTCACCGTGCTCGTTTTCGAGAATGTAAAAAAAAAAAAAAAAAAAAAAGGAAGAAAAAGTAAATAATAATGAGTAGGGAAAGGGAAAGGAAAATTTGACAAATTTCTCGTGATGTTATTAATTGTATGATTCCAACCGGAAAAAAAAAAAACTTTTTGAGACAAACTTTTCGGAAAAACTTCTCCAATTTCCGCTTTTCTTAACCGAAATGAAAAACCAAAAAGTATACAAAAAAAAAAAATAAAGACGAGAGTCAAAGAAATGACGTAAAGTAAGTAACAGGTTGATCAAAAGTGATCACGTTGACATTTGAACGAACGAACGAACGCACGCACGCACTCACTCACTCACGCACGCTCGTCCAAGGGAATAGGGGAGGGAGCGAGAGCGAGAGAGAGAGAGAGGGAAATATATAGTGAAAATTAGAAGAGAAGAAAAGACAGCCTTACGGAAAAGGTAGGCGGCAGCACGATAAACTCGAAACGGTTTGAAAGTAAACCAAACGACAGCAGCACCGTACGTACGTCAAACGTTTAATTTATATGATGATATTCGAAAGACAGAACGGGAAAGAGAGATAGAGAGAGAAAGAGAGAGAGAGAGAGAGAAAAAAACGATATCGCGACCAAACATACGAGAGAAAAAGAGAAAGAAAGAGAAAGAGAGAGAGAGAGAGAGAGCAAACGAGGAAATTTTTTTTTTTTCCTTTTCATTAAAACAACACAAACCATGAAAGACATTTTTTGTTTTCATTTTAATTCATTTAGAAGGGAGGGAAGGGAGGGAGGGAATGGAAGAGGGGGAAAGGGAAAAGAATAAAAAAACCATTTTTATTGAATTGATTAAAAGCAATGCAAAGAAAAAGAAAAGAGAGGAGGAGGAGGAGAAGGGAGAGAGAACAGGTACGTGCCTTGATAAAAATTTCTTTGTATTCACGCTCATATTATAAAATTAGGTTTAATTAAATGACGTCATAAATAACTGCCTTTGTTTCCATTTCATCTCTCTCTCTCTTTCTCTTTCTCTCTCTCACACTCTTATTAATGCTTTCATTGTCGTCTAAATCTCATATTACGTTCGCATATTTTTCTCTAACGCACGACGTAGAAAACAAAAGAAACCAGAATAAAACTCCGGGAAAAAACCAACCATATCGAACAACAGCCAAACGTAACAAAACAAACAGACAAACAAACCATCGGGAAATCGAACGATATATCGATTCCTCGACTACTTTCACCTCTTCCTGACTTAAACCCATTTAAATAAATTACTACGTATAAAAAAAAAAAATATCAAAATGGCTTCTACCGGAAACGATACGTACGTACACATTTTCCCACAGCTTTGTATATAAAAAACCTAATCTCGACAAACATTATCAATTGAAATTTTTTTTTTTTTTTTTCCTCGTTCGCTTGACGTCAATGACGGGGGAAACGGGAGTGGAAGGGGGGAAAGAGAAAAAGAAAATTTTACTTTTATCCAGTGACGTCAACACTATTATTATTATTCCGAAATTCATAAATGGATGAGAAAAAAAAAGAGAAAAAAAATTTCGTATATAATTTAATTCAAAAAAAAAAAAAAATACAAGGCGGTGGTAAAAAAATATTTTTTTGGGGGGGGTAGAGAATGAAAAACAAAGAAAACAAATTTCTCCAGTTTCGCTCTCCAGTTTTTTTTTTTTCTGTTGATTTAACCCGGCTCATGAGTTTTACCCAGATACTGATAAGAATAATAATAACCAGTACCTGATGCAATACTCACGAGCAAAGTCATTTTTTTCCCACTCATTTTCGTTTAAAAAAAAAAAAAAAAAAGCATAAAACTGTAAAACGAAGACACGACAACAACAACAACAACAACAAACACAAACACGAACACGAACAAAAAAGAAAAAACACAAAAATGAACAAAATTATTATTATTATTTATAACAACAACCACCGTCTTCTTTCCAACAACTCTCGATTCGACACCGAAGAGAGAGAGAATGAGAAGAGGGAGAAAAAAAAAAAAAAAAAAAAATTGAATCCCGGCAAACACAGGAACAAACGTTCGATACGAAACTTTGTAGAAAACAACCAGGTTCGAGTAGACGCCAAACATTAAATGGCTCAATAAAGAAAAAACAATTGTTTGGAGAGCGATAACGCCTAATCTAAGTTATGTCAACAAACATGGCTGAAACTAGTTTGTCACTTTCCTGCCTGCCTGTGCGTACGTACGTACGTATACGTATATCTCCCATGTACAGGGTGCTTAACCGGAATAATTTTTTCTCCTCCTTTTCTTGTTTTTTTTTCGGGGGGAGGGGGGTGAAGGAGAGAGAGAGAAAGAAACAGAGGTGATAATAGGAAAAAAAACGGTTCGACTTATCGTTTGCAGCTGCGATTCTAAATTTAAAAAAAAAAAAAAAAACTCTCGCTCCTTTTCCTTCTTTCTTATTGTTTTGTTTTACTCTTTGACGCCGGATGTGTTACCTTGTACCGGATATGACTATCGAACGATGGGTTAAAAAACAAACGACAAACAAGAACAAAGGGTTTGTTTTTTTTCCGTTTGACTTTTTTCTTTCTTTATTACTCTGCTTCGAATTCGAAATAATTTCAAATACGTTTTACGAAAAACTCAAATTCCTTCCCGCCATTTTGATTTCGTACTCGAATCGAATACCACGCAAACAAACAAACAAACAAACAAACAAAAAGAGAGCTTTTTACGTTCTTTTTTTTTTCGACGAATTCCTCTTTCTCTCACACACACACACACACGCACACACTTTCTCCCTCTCTCTCTCCCTCTCCTTTGTTTTTTTCTCTTCCAACTCGTGAACTCGAATACCTTATGCGACTTTTACACGGGCATTATTATTATTATTGTCGTTATTATACCTGGCAGAGAGAGAGAGAGACTCGTTTTTTTCTTTTTTATTTACTTAGGCTTTACAAATCATAAACAACAACAACAACAACAACTTTATCGCTCTTTAGTTGGCGTTATTATATTCGTTTAATTACGATATATATATATCGAAACGCATTCGTTCGCCATTTTTATTTCTTTGTTTTCACAGTCATTGTGTGGTGGAGAGAGAGAGAGAGAGAGAGAGAGAGAGAGAGAGAGAGCCATTGATTGATGACGAAACATTTTTTTTTTTTTTCCGTAAACCATCCTGTAGAAAGAAATTCGTACGTGTTGAATTTTTTCCTGCGGGAGTGTACCGGGAGGGAGAGGAGAGGAAGGGGAAAATTAATAGCCCTCTTTCTCATTATTATATTTGAAATAGATAAGTTATCTACCCTCATTTACACGACATGTGTGCGCTTTCATTTGTGTCATATTCTTTTTTCTATCTATCTATCTCTATCTCTCTCTATCTATCTATCTCTCTCTTTCTATCCCTCCATTTTGATTTTCCCATTCTCATTTAATTCATCGACACAAATTACGTATATATGTATAGTCAAGAATTTTTTTTTCTCGAAAAAAGTAATTCAACTTTTATTTACCTCGAAATGAACTTCAATAAAAAAATAAAAATGGAAAAACAAAACAAATTCAAACTCATTCAAAACTTCGAGGAGGTCGTTTACTTTTCTAAAAAAAATTTTCCAATTTTCCAAATTTCCCGTCGGTCCATCCATCCATTTCCATATAAAAAAAAAAAAAAAAAGTTTTTCCGACTATACGAGGTTGCCATTTAAGAAAAAACACGAAATAAATAACGAGAAAAAAAAAAAAAATATGCCAGGGCCGTAACTAAATAAATACTTTTCTCCCCGATAAAACTAATATTTTAAGGACGAATTCTTTAAAACTCACCGCCTTCTTCTTCTTCTTCTTTCTTATCTTCCTCATTTCCGTATCCCACGCTTTCGACGGCGATATACAAACACAACACGAAATAATCGATGATAAAAAAAAATTTTTTTCGGTTAAGCGTGAAACCAAAATTCCGTTTTTTTTAACCGGAAGTTCGAAAAGACTCATGAGAAACAAAAATTTGGACGGAAGGGAGGGGAGGAGGAGGAAATGACGTACGTATCGTACACGTAATTTATATACGATTTCAAAAGAAATAATTTTGTTTTTTTCCCCCATAAAATTTTCGCACGTGGTGGACGAAAAACCGGAAGTCTGCAAAAAAAAAATTTTCCGCGACCGGAAACTTGTTTTTTTTTTTTTGTTCGTTTACGTAAAACATATATCATTTGATTTAAAACGACAAGTTTTTTTTTTCCGTCGCATTTCCAAGTCAAATTTCTTCCGCGTTTTTCAAAATGGCGTCTTTTATTATAATATTTAACTTTTTTTCGGCTAAGCTTAAGCTCTCTCGAGAGAGAAAGAGAGACAAAGAGAAAGAGAGAAAGGACAAAAACTTTAAAATCTAATCATCGGTACGAAAATACACAAACAAAATGAACGACGACACGTAAATAATTACGAAGAAACCGCAAGTTTACTTTTTCTCATTCCTTTCTCTCCTTTCTCTCTCTCTCTCTCTCTCTCTCTCTCTCTCTTATCCCAGAATTCGCAAAAAAAAAAAAAAAAAATCAATCAATTAAGTTTAGGTTTGCGAGAGAGAGAGAGAGAGAGAGAGAGAGAGAGAGAGAGAGAGAGAGAGAGAGAGAGAGAACAAGGTATTTTAATATCGATCTGAGTCATCATCGTTTTTGCAAACAAACAGGAACGCCATATTAAATTTTTTTTAAGCTTATCATTTCGCTACGGTGATAAAAATTTAATAATAATAATAATAATAATAATAATAATACCGAAATGTAAGGAAAGAGAGACAGAGGCAGAGAGAGAGAGAGAGAGAGAGAGAGAGAGAGAGAGAGAGAAAATAGGAAATTTAGTCTTACATTTAACGTCACGAAAATTAAAAGATTAGTTTAAAAAATTTTTTTTACAACCGCGTCATTAAGTTACGTAACGACTAATTTTCACTTTTTCTTTTTTTTTTGGCAATTTTAAAGAAACCCGTAGATGAATAAATTTTGAAAAAATACACAAAAACAAACGAGCAATCGATAAAAAAAATTGAAACAAACAAACAAACAAATAAACAACAACCACAAAAAATTTAAAAAAAAAAAATGTAAAAAAAAATTTTTTTGTGTTACCTTTCGGGAAAAAGGAAAGACGTCCGAATTACGAATTTTCCAAACGAAATTTCTAGAAACTTTTATTCTCTTCTTTTCTTTTCTCCCCCTCTCCTTCTTCTTCTTCTCATTATTATTATTATTATTATTATTATCATTTTTAAATTCAATCCTTGGAATTATAATTTCAAAATCAAGGTTGATAATAATAATAATAATAATAAAACAAAATTTTTCGAAGTTTAAAAAGCGGAAACTGAAGCGACTTACCTAAAACAAAACAAAAAAAAAAAAAAATTTAAATAATTTTAATATAAATAATTACGAGGGGAGGCGTGGGGAGGGAGGAGGCGGAAACGATGAAGCTATGATGGCGGAAAAATAAAATGAATTAAAATTTTATTTTTTTCCCCTTCTTCTTCTTCATTTCGACAAAGAAAAATGAAAAAATTCTCGGGAAGACATTGAAAAAAAAAAAATCACCCGCATTTCACACGCGCGCGTACGCGACAAACGCAAAAAATATACAAACAAACAGACAAGGAAATGAGGAAATCGTGTAAAGGAAGGATGTGATCGACCCCCCACTCTCTCCCCCTCTCTATCACCTTGACCGGTTCGACTTATTAAAATTAATAAATAATTTTTTTTTTGTTTGACCGAATAACACAACGACGCCATTTTAAATCCCGCAATAACAAAACCAACCGGAAATGAATAGAAAAAAAAAAAAATTTCCCTCCGATCTGAACAAACAAACATTTCCGTTCGATATTTAGAAAAACAAGAGTCGCAAAAAAGTAATAATAACAACGATAATAAAAGTAATCAACTTCGACGCCATATTGAAAATTATTTTAACTTTATCTACAAACAACTTTATAAAAAAGTAAAAAAAAAGTAAAAAAACCAAAGCAAACATAAAAGGTAAGAAAACAACAACCGGAATCGCACACATTGTGATATCCGACTGATATCAAAGATGGCGCTCACGGCAAGAACAAAAAATGTTGTAATAATAATAATAATAATAACAATCTATACATAAAAAACCTGCATCGCGTGTGATGATATCGACGTGACGACACAAAAAAAATATTCGCATCGAGAATAATAATAATAATAATAATAATGATGATGATGATGATGATGATGATGATGATGATGATGATGATGATGATGATGATGATGATATTATTTTATCAAACGTGGAAAAAGAAAAAAAAAGCTCGTTCGAAATAGGACGAGGAGGGGAGGGGAGGGGGAAGGGGAAGGAAGAGGGGAAGGTAACAAACAAACAAACATGGACGACGACCGTTTTTCCTTTCTTTTTATAAAAAAAACATTCACACGATTTTAATCGTGAATATGTCTCCTCCCCCTTCTCCCACCTGTCACTCAAGCAATCATTTCCGCACTTTCGATTTTTTTTTTTTTTAAATAAAAAAAATTCATCTTCTGCCACGTCCAATTTCTACTCAAAGTGTACGATGATGATTTCTCTCTAAACAAAATTAACGACGACAATTTTTTTTTTTTTTTTTTTTTTACATCAAATCAAATTTTTCTTATGTAAATAATGATTAATAATAATAATAATAATAATAATAATAATAATAATAATAATAATAATAATAATAAAATTAACAGGAAGTGTTTTCGTCGTACGCAA